CTTTCCTGCTTCTCTGATGCTGCCTGGCCTGCTGTGTTCATCCAGCTCTACACCCTGTTATCTCAGATTCTCCAGCATCGGCAGTAACTACTATCTCTAAGACTTTTCATTGTTGTTCCTTCAGTGTTGCTGGGTCAAAATCTTGGAAGTCCCTCCCTAATGGCATTGTGGGTCAATCTACAGCAGGTAAGAAATAAGAACATTTGGCCCCTCAAACTTGTTCAGTAGGATCACGGCTGATTGGATATCCCTAACACCCACTTTCCTGTCCTATCCCCGTAATCCTTGATTCCCCGACTGATCAAGAATCTCTCAGCCTTAAATATACACATCGGGCTCTGCCCCCCACAGCTCTCTGTAGCAAGGAATTCCAAAGAGTCACAACCCTCTGAGATAAGAAATTTCTCAACTCAGCAACGGTTCAAAGATGCAGCTCACCAACCCCTTCTCAAGGGCAGCTGAGGATGGGCAATAAATGCCATGCCCAGCCAGGGATGGCCACATCCTCAGCATCAACAAATAAAGAGTTTCCATTGTTCAAGAGTTGCTGTGTCTGTTTACGTCTGGATTGAGTAGATGGACTGAGCAGCCTGACAACTGGTGCCTGATGTTTGCGATTGGACAAGGTACAGATGTAGAGTTCTCCTCTGGAGGTTGGTGTCCGTGTGTCCGTGTGGCAGGGGAGGGGCAGGGGTAGGGGTTCTCAACGGACCCACCATCCATCTACAGGTTCCACTGGTACTCAGATCATTCCACGGTTTGTCAGACAGTAGAATTGGGATTTATGACTGGAAGCTTCAGAGCTGCTCGTGCAAAGCCAGCACATTTACATAACCATGCACTCGCACAGAAATCAGTAATTCTGACAATCTCAGAATGTATATTAATAAATAACTCGCTGCAGATAAGGAGAAAAGAGCTGTGTCAAATTCACTGTCCAGAAACATGCCAGGCTGGAGTATCTGTTTCACATAAACCTCCTCCCAATGTCTCCTTCCATTCCTTTCTCAAACAATTTTTTTTTTACAATTGCTCCTTAAAATCCATTCTCTACAACCACTCCTTTTCCCCACTCTCTGGGTAAAGACGTTTCTCCTGAATTCCTGTTGCTTTCATTAATGACTATCTTATTTTTAATAATTGAAGGTAATTCATTCATTGGATGAGGGGGTCACCAACATTTATTGTCCATTCCTAACTGCCTCGAATTAAGAGTCAACCACGTTGCTGTGGGTCTGGAGTCACGTGTAGGCCAGACTAGGTAAGGATGGCAGATTTCCTTCCCTAAAGAACATTAGTGAATCAGATGGGTTTTTCCCAATGTTCACAGTCATCACTAGACTCTTAATTCCAGATGTTCACTGAATTTAAATTTCACTATCTGTCGTGGCAGGATTTGAACCCAGGTCCCCAGAACATTACCCGAGTGTGTGGATTAACAGCCCAGTGATAATACCACGAGGCCATCACCAGCTCCGACTCCCCCCAACCCTTCTAATTCAGTGATCCGCGTATGGCCTGGAGGAAGTTTTGTGGCACAGAGTATAGATTTGCTACCTCTAAACCAGACACTCCAGGTTTGAATCCAACTCCAGGACCTATTGGTCAATAATGTCAATATGTAGGGTATCCACCCATGAATGTTTCTGGTTACCCCTCAGGCAGGCAGGAAGGAGGCAGGAGTTCCTTGCTCAGACAGGGCAATGGCAAGCCACTCTGACACCTTTCCAAGAGAAATCATGGACCAGTAGCTTCAGGTTCATGGTCATCAATGCTGTGTTAAGGTGTGATACCTGAAGGAGGGGAGTATAGAGGAAGAGAGAGAAAGAAAAATAACTCACTCCCTAAGGGCACTGTGGGTTAATCTACAGCAGCTCACCCCCACCTTCTCAAGGGGCAACCAGGGACAGGTAATAAATATTAGACCCAGCCGGTGATACCCGCACCCCACAAAATGGGAAAATTAGTAAATTAATAAAATAAAAAAGGACAGAGATCTAGTCTTCACCACAGAAAGGGAATGTTTTCTCTGTGACTGCCTCACTGAACTCCATCACCCAAAGAGTCAAGTATTTGAGTAACAATTACAAGACAGCAATTCTAGAGATGATCATAATCTAAAAAAAGGTTTGAGCAGGAGATTCCAAAACATGTTCTCCATTTTTGGCATGTTTGATCTAAGTGATGTCAGTGCTGTACCAGAAGGTTTCCATTTGCAGTTTTAAAAATCAAGTGAACCAGGTTAGGATTAGTCCACGCCAAACACAGTCTTACAGTCATCTCAAATTTGCATGGGGAAAAATATTGCATTTTTATAGCACCTTTCACATCTTCAGGTCACTCCACAGAGCTGCTAGCAGGAAAAGTAGGAGCAAGAGGAGACCATTCAGCCTTCTAGCCTGGTGTACAATGCAATTAGTTTGTAACTTATCTGTGTCTTAACTTTATCCACTCATCTTTGTTCTGTTACCCTTAACCAACTTGTGCAATAAAATCCTAGCAATCTCAGTTTTGCTATACATGTTTCATTTCCATGCTCCACAGGGATTTGGGGGACAGAGTTCCTGATTTCCACTCCTCGTTGTGTGAGAAAGTGCTTTCTGATATCATTCAAACCCCACACCCCTGAGCTCATAGTTGCTCTCAATCTATCTCATTAACTCCTGAAATTAGGGCCTCAACTAGATATCTCTATAAAACATCCGAACTCGAGGGATTTAGGAACATCCTTATCGTCTTCTGTGATGTGAACAGATCACACACATTAACACCATGGGATTATTAATACCACAGACTGTGCTTTCATACCTGTGCAGTTCATTTGCCTTCCAGATGCACATAAATGTTTCTCTGCTTCCATTGTAAGAGTAGAATTCACATCAGAAGCTGTTTGATTGCACCAGGCCCAACCTAAACAAGTTGAAAACAGGTTTTAGTTTTCAGCTACAAACAAATCTTTATGTTTGGGTAAAATTGCAAGGCAGATTCAGCTGAGAACTAGTCCATTCAGCCCAAGTGATCCATGCCAGTTTTGATTGCTTCACATGAGGCTCCTTCTTCAAATTATTAGCAAAGCCCTCGCCGTTGCTTTTGGCCCCCACTACAAACTACATTCCCTAGCCACTGGCTCCATCCTTCTCCCTGGCAACTATCCAAAGCTGAACCAAGCTGTTCAGTGTCAGTGACCCTGAAATGAATTTTTTAGCCACCTATCAGCATCATTACCAACACTGCCTGTTTCACCTCAGGCTAACTATCTGACTCTGTCCCTACCTTAGATCATCCGCTGCGGAAAACCTATTCACGTTTTAGTTACCTCTAGTCTCGACTATTCTAAAGCACAGTTAGCTGCTTTCCCATGTCTGAACCCTTTGTAAAATTCAGGCTGTCTAATTGCAGTGGTCATTGTTATGATTCTGGTAAAGACACACAATCAAATTTTAATTTCCATCAGCTCATTGTTATTCCTGAGACCTGTAAATGGATTAAAATGATTTTTAAAAAATGAGAAAACATGGACCTGCAGTGGTCACCTGATGACAGATTGATGCAAGATTTGCGGAATAATTAAAACCATTTGCGCTGAAATTACCATTTTTACCTAAAGGTATCAAAATCAGGCAGCTGCGTCAGTGTCAAGAAATTTGCAACTCCTGCATAAATTCACATGTATATGATAATTTCACATACTGGGAGATAAAATGCTCACTAGCTTTGAAAGAAAGACAACGAGGCTACACACCAGAACCTGCACTGAACTATATTTCAACAACAGAGCAGAGAGAAGGAAAAATGAATTTGCGACAACAACAGCAGGAATTCTCTCTCCCTGCCAGTTCCTCTCATCATCTTGGAATACAGTGCCTGATGAAAAAACAAATTGTGAAAACAACATTCACTGACAAAACAAAGGTCTTTCCAACAGATACCAGTTAACAATTACACAACTGTACTCTCAGAATGTAACACCTCCTAGGATATTAAGAACTATGAAATTTTATGACTTTTATTCTCTCTGTCTATACCAGACACTTATCCTTTTAAAGTTTAAACTCTGTCTTTGTGTTCTTAATATTGTATTTTTACTATTTCCCATCCTCCTCCTTGGGGTTTGTAAATACTAACATTTATCTTTTTTACACTCAATAAAACCTTAGTAATTGGACCTTCCATTTTTAAATGAACAACACTTTAATGGAGAGAGATAGTAGGAACTGCAGATGCTGGAGAATCTGAGATAACAAGGTGTAGAGCTGGATGAACACAGCAGGCCAAGCAGCATCAGAGGAGCAGGAAGGCTGACGTTTCAGGCCTAGACCCTTCATCAGAAAAAGGGTCTTCTGAAGAAGGGTCTAGGCCCAAAACGTCAGCTTTCCTGCTCGGCCTGCTGTGTTCATCTAGCTCTACACTTTGTTATCTCTAACACTTTAATTGAAGTGTGATAGCCGCTTGCTTAAAAAGAAATTTTTATATAAATTTGTTATGATGGAC